AGATATCCCCCAAATGTCAGAATAGTACAGATATCCCCCAAATGTCAGGACAGTACAGATATCCCCCAAATGTCAGGACAGTACAGATATCCCCCAAATGTCAGAATAGTACAGATATCCCCCAAATGTCAGGACAGTACAGATATCCCCCAAATGTCAGAATAGTACAGATATCCCCCAAATGTCAGGACAGTACAGATATCCCCCAAATGTCAGAATAGTACAGATATCCCCCAAATGTCAGGACAGTACAGATATCCCCCAAATGTCAGGACAGTACAGATATCCCCCAAATGTCAGAACAGTACAGATATCCCCCAAATTTTTTGCAGAGTAGACAGTCCGACGTACTTCATAAGAGGCATGGCGAGTTTTTTGAAGTTGTATTTTTTTGTCATAATTTTTCAGAAAATGAAAAAATTAAAAGAATTATTTTCACTATTTTTTTTTTACATATTATCACCAGTGCAGTACAGCGTCATCATATAACTGGCATGGCGGTGATCAGGGACACTGACTGGTGAGAGTATGAAAAAAAATTTTTTTTTTTTTTTAATTTTGTTGTTATTTTTAATTTTTTATTACATTTTTTTTTTTTTTTAGATTTTTTTTTTCATATTTTACTATGACCAAAGTAGTACAATGTTACCTATAGTAACATTGTACTACTTTGGGGAAGTGATCAGTATTTTTTTTTTTTTTTTACACAATTTGCTTATAGCAAAGAATGACTTTGCTATAAGCAAGCATTTACCCGAATGACATCGATTCATTCAGGTTTTTTTTTTTTGTGCTTAGCTGTGATTTGGCCACGGCTAATCACATGACATGTGCATATGACCATTCACAGTTAGACACTAGTATACAATGGATGGCATAAATGCAGCCATCCATTGTATACAACTGTCATGTGACCTGCTGTGATTGGTCACAGCAGGTCACATGGTACCGGCAACAGGGGCCGGTACTCAGATCAGTCATCGGCCGTGTCCGAAGTACACGGCCTGTGATAGATTGCGGCTCTGCAACCGCGCCAAATGGCGTCCACCCGGAAAGCTAATGCATTTTTGTGGCCGCCAAACGGCTATAGGCCAGGCGGCTAATGGTTAACCACTGTCAAACGACAAGGATCAAAGCTGTAGTTGGCACCCTGAATATGTTTCCTATACCAGAAGCTATCGGCCAAAACAATGTGATTCCCCTTTAATGGTGTTTCACCTTTTTCCAGTCAGCGCCGTAATTCCTCAGTCATTATGTATGTAGGCATTTTAATCCCATCTTTATTATGACTCTGGACATTATAAACTACCTTTCGGAGCCTCTCTCACTGCTGATTCAGTCATATTGATTTTTTTATTGTATTTTTCTTTTTAACAATGCATAGAGCTATTTACATAAAGCCGTTATTTCACAACTATCTGACACGCATGCACTTAGCAAACCTACCAGACCGGCCCTCTCTCCTCTGTTCCTGGAAGTCATAACTCAGGGAAGCATCATAATGGTGACCGTAGACGTGGACCCGGGTACAAGACTTGGTTCTGATTGGAAACTGTCTTCCATTTGATCTGAAGATATGAAAAACTCAAGTCAACAAGTCACACCAGTCACTGAATGGACTGCATATGGCTACTCCAGGGACTATTCAACTATGCTGAAGTTAGACCCGGATTACTTTCAGGACCCTTTCCTGATCCATTGTGGTGTGTTACCAAACATGCATTACTATGAACCAGGGGTGGACTGACCATTTGGAAACTCGGGCACTGCCTGAGGGCCCGGGGTCAGTAGGGGGCCCCATGAAATGCCCCTGGTACCTTTTTCATAGGCTTTTTTGAGTTTGGGCAAGGACACAGGGGCCCCATGATATCCTATTGCCGGGGGCCCCATGAGTTGTCAGTCCGCCCCTGCTATGAACATAGGATTTTTGCATATTAAAGTAGTTGTAAACCCTTACATATACCCAGGGAAGTGACTGGTCTCAGGTGATACACAGAGATGAAACAAATCTTCCTACATAAGTTGTAACTGTTTATCCCCAGCCCTCTCTTCTTTACATCCTTTCAAAGACCAGAATTTACACAGCATTTCTGAGCTTCAGAAGATAGGGGGTGGGGATCTGATGTCATACTGCGTAGCATAGAGCAGGGCACTGAGTGTAATCTGAGACCTGAGTGTGGGGAATGGACACACCCCCCTCTACACAATTTAATAAGGAAACATGCACAGCTGAGCCTGTATGCTGGAGGGAGAGTGAGGCCAGAGATTGCCTGTTATCAACATAAACTGTCAGAAGAGATTCATTCAGAAAGCAGAGGAGTGAGAGTTAGAGTGTTACTAAAACCCGCAGCAGTAAAATCAGTCTGTATATGCAGTAAAGCATGCTTGATATACTTGCTATGAAACCCAAAGGGTTAATCCTCTGCATTGTGTAGAAAGGCTGTTTGATCCTGACTTCTCTGATCCTCCCCTTCTTGCAGTGCCCCCCTATTGTCTCCTAATAAGACATATCGTGTGGAGTCACTCTGCACATGCTTAGTTTTCTGTGTATTGCTAGAGAGGTTTTTTTTTCTTGGAAGAGTGCATGTGATAAGCATAGGGCCAATCAGCACTGTCCATCCATGTCCTCTTCCCCCCTTCACATCCTCCTTTACTCCCCACATCCATGTCCTCTACCCCCCTTTACACCCCCTCCCCCCAAAGCTTTAACTGGTGCTGGGCTGGACACTGATAGAAGTAACAAGACTACTTTAACTTCTGATGAGAAAAGGTATTTAGCAGTTTATATTTGCTAAAATAATTGTATTTCCATGTTCTGTGTACTGTGGGGGACCAGATATAGTGAATGCAGGGTCCGGGGAGAGCAGATATAGTGAATGCAGGATCCGGGGAGAGCGGATATAGTGAATGCAGGATCCGGGGGAGACCAGGATATAGTGAATGCAGGGTCCGGGGAGAGCGGATATAGTGAATGCGGGGTCTGGGGAGAGCGGATATAGTGAATGCAGGGTCCGGGGAGAGTGGATATAGTGAATGCAGGGTCCGGGGAGACCAGGTATAGTGAATGCAGGGTCCGGGAGACCAGGTATAGTGAATGCAGGGTCCGGGGAGATCGGATATAGTGAATGCGGGGTCCTGAGAGCGGATATAGTGAATGCAGGGTCCGGTAGACCGGATATAGTGAATGCGGGGTCCGGGGAGATCAGATATAGTGAATGCAGGGTCCGGGGAGAGCGGATATAGTGAATGCAGGGTCCGGGGAGACCGATATAGTGAATGCGGGGTCCGGGGAGAGTGGATATAGTGAATGCAGGGTCCGGGGAGAGCGGATATAGTGAATGCGGGGTCCGGGGAGAGCGGATATAGTGAATGCGGGGTCCGAGGAGAGCGGATATAGTGAATGCGGGTCCGGGGAGAGCGGATATAGTGAATGCGGGGTCCGGGGAGAGCGGATATAGTGAATGCGGGGTCCGAGGAGAGCGGATATAGTGAATGCGGGGTCCGAGGAGAGCGGATATAGTGAATGCGGGGTCCGGATATAGTGATGCGGGAGCGGATATAGTGAATGCGGGGTCCGGGGAGAGCGGATATAGTGAATGCGGGGTCCGGGGAGAGCGGATATAGTGAATGCGGGGTCCGAGGAGAGCGGATATAGTGAATGCGGGGTCCGGGGAGAGCGGATGTAGTGAATGCGGGGTCCGGGGAGACCGGATATAGTGAATGCAGGGTCCGGGGAGAGCGGATGTAGTGAATGCAGGGTCCGGGGAGAGCGGATGTAGTGAATGCAGGGTCCGGGGAGAGAGGATGTAGTGAATGCAGGGTCCGGGGAGACCGGATTTAGTGAATGCAGGGACCGGGGAGACCGGATATAGTGAATGCAGGGTGCGGGGAGAGAGGATGTAGTGAATGCAGGGTCCGGGGAGACCGGATATAGTGAATGCAGGGTCCGAGGTTTAGTAAGACTTTAAGACAGAAATCACACTAGGTGCTTTGGATAGAGGCAGGTACACCCTATAGAAGGATATGCATTGTTCATTTTTTATTTCAGGGGTTTATAACCACTTTAGCATGCCTTGCACTAGGGCACCATATTAGGAGAAAAATTACCAGCACCCTTTTTGTAACACAGATTACTATAACGTATATCATGTGCATTGAAAGTTACTGTAAATCCTAAATAAATGGTAACACAATAAAACGAACCGTGCATTGTTATAATATAAGCTGTAAAAGGGAACCTCAAAGTGTTACTCCAGATTTGTTGAGAAAAAAATACAAAGTAAGAATTTTCACAACGTTATTGCAATATTGGACCTCTCTGTTCTGTAGAAATTGCCACTGTTTCACAGTTTCCTTTCTCCAACTGATTTTTCAATGTCTGTCTTTGTAAACACCTCCTAAGTAACCATGAACTGACCATACGCCTGTAGAATTGCATTTAAAAAAATGTTTTTGGAGCATTAGTTTGAGTCTCTAATAGTTAAAGCCTACATTTAGCTTAAAAAAAAAATAAATAAATAAAAAAAGAGCACCAGGGATGATACTTCCATTCAGTGAGAAGCGTCCCTTATGCTGATGGCTGCTTGTCCTTTTGAAATCCTCAGTCTTTTGCCCCCCCCCCCATTCTACTGGTGTTGCAGGGATTAATACAGCTGTTGGATCTCTCATAGGCATTTGTCAAGTCCTGACTATGGCCATCCTTTTTGTCTCCTCCTCCATTCATAGGTGCTGTACTATAGCTTCCAGCAATGAAACCACTCTATGAATAGAGGACAGGTGGCTGAATGAGAGGCCTGCCCCCTCCATTTTGCTTTTAGGAGGGGTTCTATGAATGGAGTGCAAAGAAAGGAGAGAAAAAGTCAGCATCCTTACCGGTGCCTATGAAAGGTCCTTTGGTTTTGTTAACCCCTACAGCACTGGAAGATTACAGTTGCATGGTGGTATGGGGGGGGGGGGGATGCAGAGGACTGAAGACTTCAACAAGATAAGCAACAGACCTTTCATTCATCTGCCCAACCTCCATTCATGGAGTGCTTTCATTGCTGGAAACTATAGTACACAGGGGCGGACTGACCATTTGGAAACTTGGGCACTGCCCGAGGGCCCGGAGTCAGTAGGGAGCCCCATGAGATGCCCCTGGTACCTTTTTCATAGGCTTTTTTGAGTTTGGGCAAGGACACAGGGGCCCCATGATCCCCTATTGCCCGTGGGCCCCATGAGTTGTCAGTCCGCCCCTGATAGTACAGTTTCTATGTATGGAAGAAGGGCGGAAAGAACTGGCATAGTCAGCACTTTATGAGTGCCTATGAAAGGTCCAGTGTCCTAATTAACCCCTGAAGCACATGTAGAGTACTGCTGCAGTGGAATGGGAGGCAGTGGACATGAAACACTTATTGAAGCATCTTAGTGATGACTTTTGGAGGACATAGTAAGCCAATCAGATCAGTTGGATACATTGGTATCAACACTGGATGTTTTGTAATGTTTTTGACAGTCGAGTAACTTGGATCATTCCAAGTGTGTATGGAAGCTAGATGTGAAGGTATTCCATGGTGAATCCACTGCACACTGGCACTAAAAGGACTGGTTATCTCTTCTTCATGCCTTGTGCATGTAGGCAGTCCCGATCATCTAATACCCTACAGCTGTATCAGAATATTGTATTTTATGCACCATCTGGTTGCCTAGTGTCTTCCTTGAAAACTGCTGGCAGTCAGGGAAGTCATAAAGATTGTCTGAACCACTCTTCAGAATTTTAACATGCCTCTGAACAACAACAGACACTTGGGGGTTTATTTACTAAAGCTGGAGAGTCCAAAATCAGACTCACTTCTGCATAGAAACCAATCAGCTTCCAGGTTTCATTGCCAAAGCTTCATTGAACAAGCTGAGGTTAGAAGCTGATTGGTTTCTATGCAGAAGGGAGTCTGATTTTGGACTCTCCAACTTTAGTAAATAAACCCCTTGATGTCTTCAGTGCACCAGCGCAAGGCAGTGGAGTTTTAAAGCAGGGTGGGCGGAGCCTGATGGGGATTCAGAGACACTGGTTCCCCATTAAGTTCACTTCCCTTGTGATTGACAGCAGGTGGTGGGTGGATCCATAGCCAATAGACAGTCTTCTGTTGGCTATAGAATCCACCCACTGCCCACTGTCACTCACTAGAAGACTGCGAACCTGATGGGGAACTAGTGTCCCAGCTTCTCCATTAGGCTTCGCCACTGTCAGCTTCACCAGTTGCTAGGAAGCTGTAAGCCATGAAGCTGACGGCGTCCTTAACAACCACTGACAGGTAGGAAGGGGAGGAGGTAGTGGCGGCAAATACGGTGTCTGCTATGCAGCATTCAGAAAGTAATATTTCAGTCTGCAGACCAAAGTGCCATATTAAAATGTAGAGTCCAAAACCAGTTTTTTTTCCCAATGTATAATAGGTGCTACAACCAGATATCCCAAAAGTATACAGTCACCAAGATTTTGTAGGTCAGTAATCACGAGGCCAGGGGGCAGCTATGCTCATTCAGCTTCCTCCAGACTCCTTCTAGAGAGGCTTTGTGGACTAGATCTGTCACGTCAATTCTCGGGTGTCGAAGATAACTTTAGGTGTAGGCCCTCCAGATCTGCTATAGCTTGGACCTTGGGAGCTTGTCTGATCAGAATCTTCTACTGGGGAGGGGGCCTGCCCCCCCCCCCCCCGACTGCCAGAATCCCTTCAACCAGTGAGAGAATGAGTGAAGGCCAGAAGTAGGGACCCTATAAAAGAAGAACTTTTTGGCTCAGATATCCCAAAAGTACACGGTCAACAGGATCTTGTTGAACAGTCCGTACTCATGAGGCCAAAAAGTAGCTGTGCCCATTCAGCTTCCACCAGACATCTTCTAGTGAGGCTTTGCAGAGTAGATCCATCAGGTGAAGTCTCGGAATGTTGAAAATAACTTTAGGTGTATGCCCTCCAGTTCTGCTACTGGTGGGGCCTTGAAGAATAGCATTTTGTCTGAGCAGAATCTTTTACTGGGGAGGGGGTCACTCCTTGGAATCCCTTCAGCAAGAAGACCTTGCTGCTCTGGAGTTCACACTATTTATCCAGCCACTTATTGTGGGCCACCCCTCCCAGGGTGTCAAGGTCCTACCTTTTCCCAGAGGTTATGCTGCTCCATGTGCTGGCATCCATCTTGGGTTTCTGCAGAGCATGGTGGGAGTCTTTTATGGCTTCAGCCTCTGCGGTCCATCCCCCAGAGGGGTGTGGTTGATCACATATAAGTCTGTTGTCCGCACGTGCTCTTTGCATTCGTGTCTTGTGTGTTAGTGTTCCAACAGCTCTGTTTATACTCTCGTGACTCTCCTGGAATCTGACTCGACTTTTGACTAGACCATTCTCTGCGTTTTCCTTTGATCTGACCTCCCGTTGCTGAACCCAGCCTGTGACCTGTTATTCTTGTCTACTGTTCTGTACCATTTGTCCTGTTGTTGTCGACCCGGCCTGCCCGACTACGCTATTGTCTGATCTGGTTTCCTACCAGCTACACACCATTGGTGGCAGCCATTACCGCAGCTGGGGTGTCTCGGGGGCTGTGACCTGGTTCCTGGCTGCGTCAAGTCCATCCCCACCATCAGGGCCCTGGTGAAGGGCAGCCTGGGACTTAGACTCCGCGCCCTGAGGGACTCCGGTCTGTGGGTGGTGGTTGTCGCCAGTCAGTGCGTGACCCTGCACTAGGCCTGCCTGTCCATTCCACAGCTCCTGCCCTGACACAGGGATTGACTGGCACTCAATAAATATTAAACTACCTATTTAACTCTCCCCTCCCTGTGTTCCAGAAGCCTAGAAAGCAGGGGGGATAGTACACCCTGCAACCTGTGAGACCTAGAACAGCCCAAAGAAAATCAATAGCCACTCCAATGATTACAGATGAGCCAAAAAAAATTATGTACATCCTGGCAACCTATTAGTGTGCTAAATTTAAAAAAAAATAGCTCAGAGAAGCATTTATTTTCCATCTCGAAAAGTGCGGCTTTGTAGATGAGATCAGTCAGATGAAGTCTCAGGGTGTTGAAGATAACATTAGGTGTTGGTCCCCTAGCTCTGCCACAGGTGGGGTCATGAGGAGCAGTAACTTGTCTGAGCAGAACCTGCTACTGAGAGGGGGTCACCCCCCCCCCCCCAGAGTGGTGGAATCCCTTCAATAGTAGAACCCTGCTCTTGTTCAGTTCACACTATTTGCCAGCTTCTCCAGCCAACGCATGGGAACTCCCTCTCAGGGATTGGCTGGCACTCAATAAATATTATTTGATTTTCCCGTCCCTGTCTTCCAGACGCCTCTAGAAATCAGGGGGGATAGTCCAACCTGTGAGACCCAGAAGAGCCCAAAGAAATCAATAGCCACTGCAATGATTACAGAAGAGCCAAAAAAAGAACTAAATTTACCTAACATCCTAGCAGCCTATCTAGTAGGGTGATGGAAACAAAATGTCCCAGAGAGGCATCACTTAATTGTTTTGGAAAGTTTGGATGTGTGTAGAAAGCATTCTTTAACTAATAAGTCGAAAAACTCCAGTCTTCTTCTTGAATTATTAAGCTCATGGGCTATTTGCAACAAACTCATAGCTCCTTAAAAATAGAACTGGTGACCCTGTTTGGGCACCTGGAAAAGGTTCCATTAAAAAGATAGATACTACTTCCAAGCCCTGACAGCAACAGAATAGACTTCCTCCCCGGTTCTGTTCATCTGTATTACGCACTGGTAAGTTATATTTTGGAAACCGTTTCTACTTGGTACTGTAGAAAAAGTCACAGAAAAAAAAAAAAAGAAAAAATAAGGGGGCCAGATGGATACAGCGACTGGTGAGTGGAGTCTCTAGGGTAGAGGGGTGAGCACTTTTTTCGACCAGGATTAATTGGCACCAAAGTTGGTAAACTAGGGCACGTACAATTAGGAAGTGGGCCACAGACACTCGGCTCCTCCAAGCGCACAATCTGCTCCCCTCTCGCTTTTTCTGACACTCTCCGAAGCTGTGACAACAAGCAGCTACTCCCGAAATGCCTAATTAGATGTTCACACAGATGGCAGGCAATAAAACATAGCCAAGGCTAGTCGTCCCGCTCTCCCACGACATTGAGCAATGGTGTTTATTTTGGGAAAGATTGTTAGCTCTTCAGGGTAAATACTTTTTTCCCTCTTTTAGTGCCAATAATATAAAAGTATACATACCTCTTAGCATTGCTTAATGTGAAGCTTGACAATCATTTGGTACCTAGCACAAATTTCAAATATTAAAAATCGATGACATTTAGTTTGCTGAAGCCGATGTATCAAACAATCACCATTTTTGTTCGTAATATTCTCAACTTTTTTTTTTCTTACCATCTCAGAGCTTCAGATCTCCTGCAGCATTTCTGCATCTACTTCCTGTCTACCATGTACTCTACAATGGCTGCATGGTATTGTCAGGTACAGGGGCGGACTGACCATTTGGAAACTCAGGCACTACCCGAGGGCCTGGGGTCAGTAGGGGAACCATGAGATGCCCCTGGTACCTTTTTCAAGATTTTAAGATCGCAATACCAATAAGTCATTTTTCCCTTTCAACTGGATGGAGGGTCAGCCATGTCCATACGGCGGCTGCTTTTTCCACTTTCTGGGAGATGTGGTGTAAGCAACTCTTGGAAACTGCACTACCCGAGGTTGGTAGGGGCAGTGCCCCAGCTACTTTTTGATCGCAATAATGCTCCCAGACCCTCAACTCCTTTAGTCAGCCTGATAATGCATGGCATGGCAGCTGCTTTGTGTGCCTGATCCTGTAGCCTGCTGAGAGATGTGGTGTAAGCAGGGGCAGACTGACCATTTGGAAACTTGGGAACTGCCTGAGGCCCGGGGGTCAGTAGGGGGTCCCATGAAATGCCCCTGGTACCTTTTTCATAGGCTTTTTTGAGTTTGGGCAAGGACACAGGGGCCCCATGATCCTCTATTGCCCAGGGGCCCCATGAGTTGTCAGTCCGCCCCTGGTCAGGTATTGCCAACAGCTCTTTAAGAACTAATTCATACATGAAGTTGGGTAATGGTAAAATCTGTGATTGAGCTGCACTTTTACTGCCTTCCAACCACTACCTCCTTGGTTGGTGGTTTCTCAATCCAGACCACTGAGTGCCTGCTGCCTCATTCCTCTGCTGTTTGCAGAGTCACTTCTGAAAAGTTTTCCTGACACCA